CTATGAGTGTCTATGAGTCTGTGTGTGTGTGTGAGGTCTCTATGAGTGTCTATGAGTCTGTGTGTGTGTGAGGTCTCTATGAGCGTATATGAGTCTGTGTGTGTGTGAGGTCTCTATGAGTGTCTATGAGTCTGTGTGTGAGGTCTCTACGAGTGTCTATGAGTCTCTGTGTGCGTGAGGTCTCTATGAGTGTCTATGAGTCTGTGTGTGAGGTCTCTATGAGTGTCTATGAGGCTGTGTGTGTGAGGTCTCTATGAGTGTCTATGAGTCTGTGTGTGGTCTCTATGAGGGTCTATGAGTCTGTGTGTGTGTGAAGTCTCTATGAGTGTCTATGAGTCTGTGTGTGTATGAGGTCTCTATGAGTGTCGATGAGTCTGTGTGTGAGGTCTCTATGAGTGTCTATGAGTCTGTGTGTGTGTGAGGTCTCTATGAATGTCTATGAGTCTGTGTGTGTGAGGTCTCTATGAGTGTCTATGAGTCTGTGTGTGTGTGTGCGGTCTCTATGAGTGTCTATGAGTCTGTGTGTGAGGTCTCTATGAGCGTATATGAGTCTGTGTGTGAGGTCTCTATGAGTGTCTATGAGTCTGTGTGTGTGTGTGAGGTCTCTATGAGTGTCTATGAGTCTGTGTGTGTGAGGTCTCTATGAGTGTCTATGAGTCTGTGTGTGAGGTCTCTATGAGTGTCTATGAGTCTGTGTGTAAGGTCTCTATGAGTGTCTATGAGTCTGTGTGTGTGTGAGGTCTCTATGAGGGTCTATGCGTCTGTGTGTGTGAGGTCTCTATGAGCGTCTATGAGTCGGTGTGTGTGAGGTCTCTATGAGTGTCGATGAGTCTGTGTGTGAGGTCTCTATGAGTGTCGATGAGTCTGTGTGTGAGGTCTCTATGAGTGTCTATGAGTCTGTGTGTGTGTGAGGTCTCTATGAGTGTCTATGAGTCTGTGTGTGTGTGAGGTCTCTATGAGTGTCTATGAGTCTGTGTGTGTGTGAGGTCTCTATGAGTGTCTATGAGTCTGTGTGTGTGAGGTCTCTATGAGTGTCTATGCGTCTGTGTGTGTGAGGTCTCTATGAGTGTCTATGCGTCTGTGTGTGTGAGGTCTCTATGAGTGTCTATGAGTCTGTGTGTGTGAGGTCTCTATGAGTGTCTATGAGTCTGTGTGTGTGAGGTCTCTATGAGCGTCTATGAGTCTGTGTGTGTGAGGTCTCTATGAGTGTCTATGAGTCTGTGTGTGAGGTCTCTATGAGTGTCTATGAGTCTGTGTGTGAGGTCTCTATGAGTGTCTATGAGTCTGTATGTGTTTGAGGTCTCTATGAGTGTCTATGCGTCTGTGTGTGTGAGGTCTCTATGAGTGTCTATGAGTCTGTGTGTGTGTGAGGTCTCTATGAGTGTCTATGAGTCTGTGTGTGTGAGGTCTCTATGAGTGTATATGAGTCTGTGTGTGTGTGTGTGAGGTCTCTATGAGTGTCTATGAGTCTGTGTGTGTGAGGTCTCTATGAGTGTCTATGAGTCTGTGTGTGTGAGGTCTCTATGAGCGTCTATGAGTCTGTGTGTGTGAGGTCTCTATGAGTGTCTATGAGTCTGTGTGTGAGGTCTCTATGAGTGTCTATGAGTCTGTGTGTGAGGTCTCTATGAGTGTCTATGAGTCTGTATGTGTTTGAGGTCTCTATGAGTGTCTATGCATCTGTGTGTGTGAGGTCTCTATGAGTGTCTATGAGTCTGTGTGTGTGTGAGGTCTCTATGAGTGTCTATGAGTCTGTGTGTGTGAGGTCTCTATGAGTGTATATGAGTCTGTGTGTGTGTGTGTGAGGTCTCTATGAGTGTCTATGAGTCTGTGTGTGAGGTCTCTATGAGCGTATATGAGTCTGTGTGTGTGAGGTCTCTATGAGTGTCTATGAGTCTGTGTGTGTGTGAGGTCTCTATGAGTGTCTATGAGTCTCTGTGTGTGTGAGGTCTCTATGAGTGTCTATGAGTCTGTGTGTGTGAGGTCTCTATGAGTGTCTATGAGTCTGTGTGTGTGTGAGGTCTCTATGAGTGTCTATGAGTCTGTGTGTGAGGTCTCTATGAGTGTCTATGAGTCTGTGTGTGTGTGAGGTCTCTATGAGTGTCTATGAGTCTGTGTGTGTGTGAGGTCTCTATGAGTGTCTATGAGTCTGTGTGTGTGTGAGGTCTCTATGAGTGTCTATGAGTCTGTGTGTGTGAGGTCTCTATGAGTGTCTATGAGTCTGTGTGTGTGTGTGCGTGTGAGGTCTCTATGAGTGTCTATGAGTCTGTGTGTGTGTGAGGTCTCTATGAGTGTCTATGAGTCTGTGTGTGTGTGAGGTCTCTATGAGTGTCTATGAGTCTGTGTGTGTGAGGTCTCTGAGTGTCTATGAGTCTGTGTGTGTGTGAGGTCTCTATGAGTGTCTATCAGTCTGTGTGTGTGAGGTCTCTATGAGTGTCTATGAGTCTGTGTGTGTGTGAGGTCTCACTGAGTGTCTATGCGTCTGTGTGTGTGAGGTCTCTATGAGTGTCTATGAGTCGGTGTGTGTGAGGTCTCTATGAGTGTCGATGAGTCTGTGTGTGAGGTCTCTATGAGTGTCTATGAGTCTGTGTGTGTGTGAGGTCTCTATGAGTGTCTATGAGTCTGTGTGTGTGTGAGGTCTCTATGAGTGTCTATGAGTCTGTGTGTGTGAGGTCTCTATGAGTGTCTATGAGTCTGTGTGTGTGTGAGGTCTCTATGAGTGTCTATGAGTCTGTGTGTGTGAGGTCTCTATGAGTGTCTATGCGTCTGTGTGTGTGAGGTCTCTATGAGTGTCTATGAGTCTGTGTGTGTGAGGTCTCTATGAGTGTCTATGAGTCTGTGTGTGTGAGGTCTCTATGAGCGTCTATGAGTCTGTGTGTGTGAGGTCTCTATGAGTGTCTATGAGTCTGTGTGTGAGGTCTCTATGAGTGTCTATGAGTCTGTGTGTGAGGTCTCTATGAGTGTCTATGAGTCTGTATGTGTTTGAGGTCTCTATGAGTGTCTATGCGTCTGTGTGTGTGAGGTCTCTATGAGTGTCTATGAGTCTGTGTGTGTGAGGTCTCTATGAGTGTCTATGAGTCTGTGTGTGTGAGGTCTCTATGAGTGTATATGAGTCTGTGTGTGTGTGTGTGAGGTCTCTATGAGTGTCTATGAGTCTGTGTGTGAGGTCTCTATGAGCGTATATGAGTCTGTGTGTGTGAGGTCTCTATGAGTGTCTATGAGTCTGTGTGTGTGTGAGGTCTCTATGAGTGTCTATGAGTCTCTGTGTGTGTGAGGTCTCTATGAGTGTCTATGAGTCTGTGTGTGTGAGGTCTCTATGAGTGTCTATGAGTCTGTGTGTGAGGTCTCTATGAGTGTCTATGAGTCTGTGTGTGTGTGAGGTCTCTATGAGTGTCTATGCGTCTGTGTGTGTGAGGTCTCTATGAGTGTCTATGAGTCTGTGTGTGTGAGGTCTCTATGAGTGTCGATGAGTCTGTGTGTGAGGTCTCTATGAGTGTCTATGAGTCTGTGTGTGTGTGAGGTCTCTATGAGTGTCTATGAGTCTGTGTGTGTGTGAGGTCTCTATGAGTGTCTATGAGTCTGTGTGTGTGAGGTCTCTATGAGTGTCTATGAGTCTGTGTGTGTGTGTGTGAGGTCTCTATGAGTGTCTATGAGTCTGTGTGTGTGTGAGGTCTCTATGAGTGTCTATGAGTCTGTGTGTGTGTGAGGTCTCTATGAGTGTCTATGAGTCTGTGTGTGTGAGGTCTCTGAGTGTCTATGAGTCTGTGTGTGTGTGAGGTCTCTATGAGTGTCTATCAGTCTGTGTGTGTGAGGTCTCTATGAGTGTCTATGAGTCTGTGTGTGTGTGAGGTCTCTATGAGTGTCTATGAGTCTGTGTGTGTGAGGTCTCTATGAGTGTCTATGAGTCTGTGTATGTGAGGTCTCTATGAGTGTCTATGAGTCTGTGTGTGTGTGAGGTGTCTATGAGTCTGTGTGTGTGAGGTCTCTATGAGTGTCTATGAGTCTGTGTATGTGAGGTCTCTATGAGTGTCTATGAGTCTGTGTGTGTGTGAGGTGTCTATGAGTGTCTATGAGTCTGTGTGTGTGAGGTCTCTATGAGTGTCTATGAGTCTGTATGTGTGAGGTCTCTATGAGTGTCTATGAGTCTGTATGTGTGAGGTCTCTATGAGTGTCTATGAGTCTGTGTGTGTGTGTGAGGTCTCTATGAGTGTCTATGAGTCTGTGTGTGTGAGGTCTCTATGAGCGTATATGAGTCTGTGTGTGTGTGAGGTCTCTATGAGTGTCTATGAGTCTGTGTGTGAGGTCTCTATGAGTGTCTATGAGTCTCTGTGTGCGTGAGGTCTCTATGAGTGTCTATGAGTCTGTGTGTGAGGTCTCTATGAGTGTCTATGAGGCTGTGTGTGTGTGAGGTCTCTATGAGTGTCTGAGTCTGTGTGTGGTCTCTATGAGTGTCTATGAGTCTGTGTGTGTGTGAAGTCTCTATGAGTGTCTATGAGTCTGTGTGTGTGAGGTCTCTATGAGTGTCTATGAGTCTGTGTGTGTGTGAGGTGTCTATTAGTGTCTATGTGTCTGTGTGTGTGAGGTCTCTATGAGTGTCTATGAGTCTGTGTGTGAAGTCTCTATGAGTGTCTATGAGTCTGTGTGTGTGTGAGGTCTCTATGAGTGTCTATGAATCTGTGTGTGTGTGAGGTCTCTGAGTGTCTATGAGTCTGTGTGTGTGGTCTCTACGAGTGTCTATGAGTCTGTGTGTGTGTGAGGTCTCTATGAGTGTCTATGAGTCTGTGTGTGTGTGAGGTCTCTATGAGTGTCTATGAGTGTCTATGAGTCTGTGTGTGTGAGGTCTCTATGAGTGTCGATGAGGCTGTGTGAGGTCTCTATGGGTGTCGATGAGTCTGTGTGTGTGGTCTCTATGAGTGTCTATGAGTCTGTGTGTGCGTGAGGTCTCTGAGTGTCTATGAGTCTGTGTGTGAGGTCTCTATGGGTGTCGATGAGGCTCCACTCACCCGCACTCTGTCTGTGCTACCCCCGCCGCCCGCTCTCGAGCACCAAGAACCCTCAGGCCACGTGACTCAGCAACTGCAGCAGCGGCGGTGGCGGCAGCACAAGGACAAAGATCCCCCGAGTAGCCTTCACAAGCTGTCGGGGCAAGTGCTATTAGCGAGTCGCACCTACGAAGGCCGGCACTGGCACACGAAGGGGTGGGTGGCCAACACCACGCCCGGCCGCCTTTGTCTCCCGGGCGGCGATGTTTAGACACCCGCACCAGTTTTGAGGCTGAGTCGACCTAGGGAAGGACCCCAGCACCGGTCCAAGATAATCGCCACCGATGTTGGCCGTGAGCGGGAATTCGAATTCGTGCCTCCCAGATTCGTAGCGCAGCTCACTGCTCACCGCTCACCACTCACCGCTCCCAACGCTCACCGCTCACCGCCCACAGCTCACTGCTCACCGCTCACCACTCACCGAACCGCACCCACCGCTCCGCACCCACCACCCACCGCTCACCGCCCACCGCTCACCACTCCGCACCCACCGCTCACACCGCTCACCACCCACCGCTCCGCACCCACCACTCAGCACCCACCGCTCACCACCCACAGCTCCGCACCCACCACTCAGCACCCACCGCTCACCACCCACCGCTCCACACCCACCACTCAGCACCCACCGCTCACCACCCACCGCTCCGCACCCACCACTCCGCACCCACCGCTCACACCGCTCACCACCCACCGCTGCGCTCCCACCGCTCACCGCCCACCGCTCTGCACCCACCGCTCACCGCTCCACACCAACGCGCAGGCACAGACACGCGCGTGCGCGTGGGCAACGTGGAGCCGATTCCGGGTCGGAGGTTGAGGGGGGGGGGGGGTCCCTGGGGGTCCCTCCCCCTCCCTTCCCCCTCCGGAGGCCGCGAGAGGCGCGCGCCACGAGGGGGCGCCCACGTGGACGGTGGCCGAGGAGCAGCGCGGAGGTGGTGGCGATGGCGGAAGCGTGGCTGATGGACCCCGCGGGCACGGAGCCGCGCTCCCCGTGCCGCCTGCGGCCGAACGTCCCCGTGCCGCCCGCCGCGCTGCTCCGCCTCGGCGTGAGGCACTGGAAGGTGGCCCCGCAGCGGCGATCGCCCACTTGCTTGTTGTTGTTGTTGATGGTTGCGTGCGAGCTGGTTGATGTTTACGGGTGCCTGGAGACAGTGCCGGATTAAGCTCGTGTGGGGCCTGGAGCGTGTAATGTTATAAAGGGGGCCCTCAATTAAAAAAAACAAATGTTTCACTTGCATAGTAAAGTAATTGTATTTTTTTTACTTTTCTATACAGCCAGATAATACGACAAATCGCTAACCTTAAACACCCAGTCGTTCATAAAAGTTGAAGGCAGTATAGTACTATAGTAATAAAGCAAGTGCAGAATCACAGAACCGGAATTGATAGCTTGAAAGCATTTAGCGCCGGGCCCTTGAAAGTGCGGGGTCCGTAGCATTATGTAGCTACTACACGTGTGCAGCAGCTACCATCCGGCACTGGGTGGAGTTTGGTGGGTGGAGCGTTATGGGTGCCTGGATGTTGGTGGGTGGGCGTTATGGGTGCCTGGATGTTGGTGGGTGGGGCGTTATGGGTGCCTGGATGTTGGTGGGTGGAGCGTTGTGGGTGCCTGGATGTTGGTGGGTGGAGCGTTGTGGGTGCCTGGATGTTGGTGGGTGGAGCGTTGTGGGTGCCTGGATGTTGGTGGGTGGGGCGTTGTGGGTGCCTGGATGTTGGTGGGTGGGGCGTTGTGGGTGCCTGGATGTTGGTGGGTGGAGCGTTGTGGGTGCCTGGATGTTGGTGGGTGGAGCGTTGTGGGTGCCTGGATGTTGGTGGGTGGAGCGTTGTGGGTGCCTGGATGTTGGTGGGTGGGGCGTTGTGGGTGCCTGGATGTTGGTGGGTGGGGCGTTGTGGGTGCCTGGATGTTGGTGGGTGGGGCGTTGTGGGTGCCTGGATGTTGGTGGGTGGAGCGTTGTGGGTGCCTGGATGTTGGTGGGTGGGGCGTTGTGGGTGCCTGGATGTTGGTGGGTGGGGCGTTGTGGGTGCCTGGATGTTGGTGGGTGGGGCATTGTGGGTGCCTGGATGTTGGTGGGTGGGGTGGTTCGCGCCCCGCCACGCTACTAACCTGGCGACCCCCGGGGTTCCATTCCCGCTCACGGCCACCCAACAGCAGCGACGATTCTCTGAACCTGTAGCTGGAGCCTCGCCTGGGTCCACTCGGCCTCAAAATGGGTACCTGTTGCGGTGTGTAGGAAACGTCGCCGCCAGGGTGACAAAGGCGGTCGGGCGTGGGTGCTGGCCATCCATCCCCTCGTGTGGCGTGCCGGCCTTCATAGGTGCTCACGAACAGCACTTGCCCCAACAGTCTGTACGGGGAATCTTTGTCTTTGATGTCTGTTCCAAGTGGATTTGTTCTGTGGCCTTACGCTGGTGCTGACTTGGCCATGAAGAAGGCCCACTGTCTCTGGTATAGTCCAATGAGTTTCAAAGACAATGCGTATATTAACCGAACAGGTTCCTTTGCATGTTTTTCCACGTAATTGTGGTGGTCATGGGTGGGGGAGTGGTGGTGATGGGTGGGTGAAGTGGTGGTGATGGGTGTGAAAGTTGTCATGATGGGTAAAGGTGCAGATTTATTTCTCACGGAATATTTTTCGGATAGGATTGTCTTCTCACGTGTTTGTGTATTGTTTGTCGTAATTTGCTGACCCCTGCGCCTACTGAACATCTGTGAAAAGAGCTTCATATCTCCTCGGATTCCTCCTGCAGGTGAAATGAACATTCTCATTCTGTGCTCTGGTGCTCAGCTGAAATTAAACTGAAATCAAGGGCTGGGTGGAAGGGGGAGGTGGTGGGTGGCATAGCGACGCGGGAGATGATTCGCCCAAATTCAAATCCACATCTCCGGCGAATCGCGTTTAGCCATCCGGCAGAGGGGAGGATCAGTGGCGCGGCCGTGGAGTTTGGCGCGCGGTCCGACCGGTTGCGCCTCCTTTGCTCCTGCGCAGCTCAACGCCGACGATTACGAGAACGACCCGGAGCTCGGAGCGATCCGCAAGGAGCTCGGCTACTCCTACATGGACATCATCACCATCCGCAAGGACGCGATGCCCGACTACGAGCAGAAGGTGCGAGCCAGCGGAGGCGGTTTTTCGCGACGGCGGGCGGCGTTCACCGGGGACCGGGAGTGGCGGGCGCGCACGCACCCCGGTCGTCGTGAAGTGGCTTTGTGCGTGGACGTACGGCGGCGCCGATCCTCAACCCCACGGCGATTGCGAAAGTCGCGAATCTCTGCTTATCTCCAAAGGCATGCAAGAGAACTGCGCACAACGACAAAGATTCGCCCTCCCCCCCCCCCCCCCCCCCGTATAGCCTTAACAGACTGTTGGGGCGAGTGCTGTAAGCGAGTAGCACCTATGAAGGCCGGCACGGCACACGATAGGCGTCGGTGGCCAGCGCCACGCCTGGCCGCCTTTGTCTCCCTTCCGGCGATGTGTGCACATGACACCAGGTGCTTGTATGAGGCTGAACTGAGGAGAGACCCAGGACCAGTTCAGATAATCGTCACTGGTGTTGGCCTTGAATCGAACTCGGGACACTGAGTTTGTAGCGCAATGCGTCAACCGCCACGCCACCGCTCCTCGCACTCAGAAACGGAAGTCACTCGCACACACGCAGGCACCGCTGACACCCAGAGACATCAAAGACAAAGATCCCCCGTGTAGCCTGAACATATCATTGGGGCGAGGTGCCGTTAGCTCGCACATACATAGTCATACGTGACTCGGTGCGCATGGAGTGACCCCGTGACGACTCCATGACCTCTCCGTGACCCCCCCCCACCCACCTCCCCCAGCTCGCATCGTTCTACAAGGAGCACCTTCACCGCGACGACGAGATCCGCTACGTCCTCGACGGCGGCGGCTACTTCGACGTGCGCGACGAGGCCGAGTGCTGGGTGCGCGTGGCCGTGCGCCGCGGCGACATGATCACGTTGCCCGCCGGCATCTACCACCGCTTCACGCTGGATGACAACGTACGCACCGTCGCCACGCGCCCCCTCGGTCGTGCGGGGGGCCCCCCTCGTGCCCCCCACCCGTGCCGTCGGTCCGCGCTGACCCCCTCGCTCCGCTCTCGTCTCCTCCGCTCCCCCTCCGGCTGCGGTGTGGAGTCTGCAGACCGCGTGACGGGAAGCCCTCGTGGGTCGGTCTCGCGAACCCGATGACCCCGCCCGTAGCAAACGGCGCCCTCTCCAATCCACGGACTCTTCTACTTACTCTCTATGGCGCCATTTTATTGCCTTGCGATCGGTGCCTATTTGGCGACTAAGCATTTTAACGCGTCCGGTATTATTGCCGGATAGGGTAAAGCATATTATTTTTTAATCTTCTACTTACTGTCGGTACATTGTCGCGCCTTAGTTTTCCTCTCACGGTAACGTTGGCTGTAGCGTTCGTCTTCATCTCTCGTCTGTTTTCGCGCATAGTGATATGTTCAATCGCACGACTACCTCTATGTGCCTCTATGTGCCTCTATGTGCCTCTATGTGTCTCTATGGATGGCTATGGATGGCTATGGATGGCTATGTATCTTTAGCTCTTCTTGCATATGGAAATAAGTTCAGGCGCTGAATGCCAATGTGGAGAATACGCTGCTGCTGCTGGCCACGACGAGAGGGCTTCAGGAGAGAGAGAGAGTTCGTGTCGTTTTGCCGCGCCTCCATTGAAGGAGCGCAGACCGCAGCGGGTCACCGCCCGGTCCAGTCGTTCCGCTATCGCACCTTCGATCGTGCCATCTCTCCACGTGACTCGCACGACCCACCGTGACCCCGCTGGCCCTGTGAGGAGTGCTCTGCGCCAGCCGCAGCTCTCGCCCGGCTCGTAGACTCCGACTCTCCCCCACGCGGGCTCGCTCTGCGCCGGGCCGCATGCCGTCGCGCGGGGATCACTCCGCGTTCACTCCTCGCGCGCGTCCAAACCGTCGCCAACGTCGCCCGTCTCGAGTCGTCGCCAGCGGTGATCCTCGTGCTTCTCCGGCTCTTTCCTAACATCTCCCATTATTTTCTAACTTTTTTTTTTAGTCGCCGCTGTCCCAACTAAGGTTGAAAGAAAGCATTTAGGCGTTGGCTCC